AAAAAAAAAAAAAAAGAGAATCAAAGATGAAGTGAGAATATGTGATCCTACAAGAAGAGATTTCACGAAAAAGTAGGAATGAAAATATCAATAAAAAGAATAAAAAGGAAAATAATGAGTATGGTGGTGGAGTACGGTTAGCATGGTCGAAGCAAAGAATTTTTTTTTTATTCCCAACAAAAAAAAGAGGGAAAAAAGCGTGAATAGTAAAATGAGATTGATTTATTGTTGTGTCTACATTGCCATCTCATTCACGTTTTTAATAGAAGTTAGAAAAAAACAAGGTCGGTAACAAATCATGTTGTGGTGATGATAACCCGCTTGCGTGATTCGCTTCAATCGCTTCTATTCTCATCCTACCGTGCCCCTATCCCACCACAAAATCCAGACCCATTACTGTGGATCTGCCACGTCAACATCCGACTCACTTCATCCGGCCCCCAATTTTTGTTATCATACGTGTATCAACAAACCAATAACACGGCGAGTACATTATACATACTCGCTGCGAGTGCGGAAAATATGTACAAAAGATTTTCGGGTTCGAGAAACGTTAACTAGAATCATTTATTCCCTAAAAAATCCTTCGAGTTTCGCTGCCCATTTCTCTTCCAATTTAGACTCAAGAGTGAATTTTTCAATTTTTCTCAAGTGCAAGTGAACGGAAATGGTGCAACCTGAAAATACCGACGGCTCCGAAGAGCAACTTTTGTTGCCGGAGACAAGAAACGGTGACTGTTCGTGGCGGTTGAACTTCGATGGATTCCATTTATCCCCTGAACACAAAGAGAAACCTCCTCGTGGGCTCCATGACTATCTTGGGGTTTTGGGTAGTTGTTTTACCGAATTTGAATACCGTTTTTGGAACAGTGCAGATTCCATTTCTTTAATTCTTTGCCCGTGGTTTAGTTCGGAATATTTTTCGTTCTTTCTTTATTCTTGTACTGCATTGATGTAAGAACGTTAGTTTCAGTAGTTTTCGGTGGGTCTAATGATTGTGGACAGCGAAAGGGGTTTATGGGACATTAATGGGGCTAAAAAGGCAATGGAATAATTTCATGAGTAATAAATTGGGTTCGTTTTTATTTTTTCTACTATAGTGGAGTAGTATTTGTTCTTAACAGCTTCAGATCCAAGCGAAACAAGTAATATATAAAAAATGCAAGAGGTACTATCTTATTTATTATTTTCCTTTATCATTTGCTTAATTTTTTGCGTTTCATTTGAGAAACTTGAGCACTTCTGTTAAGTATTAGTTAGTATCTTCTTTTTATTTCTTGCTTTCAAGACTGCTTTTAATGAAAATATTATAAATTGGCATGTGTTGAATTCTAATATTAGGCCGTAGAAAAAACTTAAGAATTACGAGCATGTACTTGCACAACATTGGACAAATTAATGCTTTTGTTCACTTTAATTATGTCTCTGAGTGCCCCATGAGTTCACTTGTTGTGTTAGGCTTTTAAAATTTAACTATGGTTTCCCGTATTTAACGTATCCTATCGTTGTTTGATTGAAGCCAAAATTAGTGATTGATTGACACCTTCAAGGGACTGCACACGAGACATTTCTCCTTTTCCTTAATGGTACAGGTGCAGAGGATAATGTTGCAGAGTATTATCAGCAACAGGTAGAGATGCTGGAGGGGTTCAATGAAATGGATGTACTAGCAGAGCAAGGTTCTGTACCAAGAGTGTCAAAGGTTTACACTTAAAACCTTAATTTTATTTTATTTTTGTTCATTAGGTTGATGAAATCTTTTATTAGATATCAAGAGGTGAACGTACCAGGGTTAAATTATCTTTTTATTTTGGCTACAGGAAGACAGGGAAAAGTTGGTTAGAAGTGAAACAATTGCCATTAGGATGTCAAATGTTGCAAATATGCTTCTTTTTGCAGCTAAAGTTTATGCATCCATCAGGAGTGGTTCGTTGGCCATTGTTGCGTCAACTTTAGACTCGCTTCTTGATCTACTATCTGGTTTTATCCTGTGGTTCACTGCTTTTTCCATGCAGACGCCAAATCCTTATCGATATCCTATTGGAAAGAAACGTATGCAGCCTCTGGTTAGTGCCTCTTAAGTCATTGATTCAAAAATAATCAGACTGCGCATTTTGACAATCATGCTACTTACCTTTTCCTTTCATTCCTTAAAATAGGCTGTGAGAATTTATTTTCATTTCTTTCAATGTATAGATAGCAGTGTCTAATTGATATGGAATATGATTTGCTTTTGTTTCTCAGATCATATCTGCTACGACATACACTGTATTTTCAGTGAATTTGAATCTTCAGGGCATTAAACCATATCGTTCTCTTATTCTTTTAACAAATTCTTCCTTCACAAAGAAGAAATGCTCAAGCTTACTCTTTCCAAATAAATAGTGTTAATCAAATCAAGTCCTTCATTGGTCTATTTAAAATGGACAAGTAATTATTTCTACTTGCAGCTTTGCCCATCTTCATGTGATCTTGCATTGACCCTTTTGTTGTTTCCTGATCCATATTTGAAGATGTTTTCCAGTGTTGTGAGCTGATTGACGGGAAAGTGGAAGGATCATGACTGTATTTTATAAACATCTGTTAAATGATTGAACGTTCAAATGGCTGTTTGTTTCTTTGACTTTGTTGTATATCTTATTTTATTTATCTTATTTTATAATATTCTTGAATGATATGATTTTCTAAATAGCACATTCTTTTATATCCGTTTGGTGTTTTTGCAACTATTGTCACATAATATAGGGTTCATAATATTTATAGCAAGACTTGTGACCTCTGTTGCCTGAAAATGTCAAAAACACAATTGTGCCCTAAATGACCACCAGACCTAGCGCGTCTTCTTTTAAAGGAACATAAAACTCAACAACTTGCAGAGGGGAGAAGAAAATAAATGAACATTAAGAGAGTCAGAAAGCAAGCAAAAGCTGAACGGTTTCAGTTGGCCAGCAAGTTTTCAGGCCTTGTTGATGTTCCTCCTGTCCTCCACCGGAATGGATTGTCATCTGGCTTAACTTGCTTTCCTTTCAATTTGGTTGTGCAAGATTCATGGCGGGGAATATTACAGGTGGACACTGGATTATTGCAGTTTGATGTGTAACAGTAAATCAATTTTTGCAACTCTTTAGGAGGTTTCATGGTTGCATAGTTTGACCAAAATGTACATATTTTTGGGATAATGGATGCTTGCTTCAATGTCTTAAGCAAATGCAATTGTGGAACTCCCTGGACATCTGACATAAGGTCCTTGGAGATGCATTTAGGCTGCACCAAGGATATGTTACAGTCATGTAAAGCATTTAATGGGTGGGAGTAAACATTGCTTCCTGCCGTGCTTGCAAGGCAACGGAGATCATGTATCTTTTGCAGTAACAAGGGTCATCAAATAGAATCTTCCTCAATTTTGGCCGAATAATAATTTTCACTAGATCAATTGTCAAAGAATTGTTAGTTCTCTATAGTCGTTATTTTATGACAACTGTAATTCATCTACCATGTGCTACAACTATTGCCTAAATATATTTTCGTGAATATAGCAAAATATTTTGTGGAGAATGTAAAACTGCATTTTCTGTATATCAATGTTTGTTTCTCTGTTCCTGTGGTTTGAATGCAAATAAGAGCTGCAAATTATTTTTTGTCATTGGAATTTCTTTCATGTGTTATATGTGCTATATTATTGTTAATGTAACAAATCTACATTGAATACATAATGTGTAGGGAATCCTTGTTTTCGCTTCTGTCATGGCAACTTTAGGCCTGCAGATTATACTGGAATCCCTGCGCACATTAGTTTCTGATGTAAGTGATCTCTACTTGAATCAATATGGTACTTAGAGATTTGAGTAAGTGTTCCATGCTTTGGTTGCTTGGAGCTGATCCTTGATTCTTTATATATTGACTCTTCATTTCTTGCCTCTCTAAGCATTTTAACTAAAGAGCTTGTGCAGGATGACGAATTCAATTTGACAAAGGAGCAAGAGCAATGGGTCATTGGCATTATGCTTTCAGTGACTCTGGTGAAACTATTTCTGTTTGTCTATTGCCGCACGTTTGCAAATGAGATTGTCAGGGCATATGCCCAGGATCACTTTTTTGATGTTATCACCAACATCATTGGCCTCGTTGCTGTAGTAATGGCTAACTATTTCAGTGACTGGATGGACCCTGTTGGAGCTATTATTGTAAGTAGAATTATATTTGCTTCACAATTTTTATGCATGTATACATAACAAAACACAGTCAAGTTGTCACACACATATGCGAAAAATAATGCATCTAAAGAAACATGCTGTTATAGTATGTTATGCACAAGGGGATTCTAATTTTGGTTGGACATCCACCAGTTTTTGATAAATCACGTATTGGCTATATGGATCCTTATTTGCCTTTCAGCTCGGTTAATCACTACATCTCAAATATATACTTCCCAACTTCAACTGGTTTTTTTTTTTTTTTTTTTTTTTTTTTTGTTTGAAAGATATTGGACAATAATTCCATTTAACATAACATGTTCACAGATAATTTATCAGATTTTAGACATTAGAAGCCAGAAGAGAGTCCTGTGATTATCCCAAGCTTGATGGGAGTTGGTGTAATCATTCCATTATTGGTTTGAAAGATATTGGACAATAATTCCATTTAACATAACATGTTCACAGATAATTTATCAGATTTTAGACATTAGAAGCCAGAAGAGAGTCCTGTGATTATCCCAAGCTTGATGGGAGTTGGTGTAATCATTCCATTATTGGTAATTTTATGAGATGCTTGACAGGCTTACATTGAAAGTTATTATTTATCAATATATTTATGGTGAAGAATGATTCATGTGGTCAACCCTAAATTTATTGAGAATGAGGCTTAGTTTGTTTTCTTTTTATGGTGATATCATCTTATTTTCTGTAATTTCTCCTTTTCTTGACTCCATACGACTTAGATCTTTGCCTTTTTCTTGTTCAATTATTTTATTTCTGATACACTATGATCTTACTACCTTCGGCAGCTGGCATTGTACACTATCCGAACATGGTCGTTAACTGTGCTGGAGAATGTGAGCTCACTTATTGGGAGATCAGCTGCACCAGAATATCTACAGAAACTCACTTACCTATGCTGGAATCACCACAAATCCATAAGGCATATCGACACTGTAAGGGCATACACCTTTGGTTCTCACTATTTTGTCGAGGTGGATATTGTGTTGCCAGCTGACATGCCCCTGCAAGAAGCTCATGACATTGGAGAATCCTTGCAAGAGAAGCTCGAATTTTTGCCCGAGATTGAGCGTGCTTTTGTTCATCTCGATTACGAGTATAGTCATAAACCTGAACATGCACAAGCGCATCTTTAGCTTGAAGGTATTGTCGTCCACATTGCTACCATCAATTATTATTGCCACCTATAAGTTTTAGTAATGCTGTTCAACTAAGTTGTCTGGACCTTTATAGAATGGCCAAATTAACATACGAATGGTGCTCTAAGTTGACCACGTGATGTGTGTATCGAAGGTTCTGTATATAAAGTCGAAAAGACTTTGCTCTCGAGAAAGAGAACAATATTGTGATGACGGGAAAGTGGCGTATATTAATGTAAGTGAACATTGCTATATGCTGATACCATATGTTCATTATGTACTGTGAGTTTTAATTCAATGAAATAAACTGAATTATGAATCCCTTTATTCAGGGAATTACTCTTTGTTCTTTCCTTGCAGTTATTTTTCTACTTTTACAAGGAATTAATGTCCCTTTGCATGCGAGCATAGCCATGGTTTACGTTGGAGGGAATTTGTATCGAAAATCGTGCAAAATTAGTGACTTGAGTACTGATTAGTATGTTTTACACGGTAACTTCACCCCCATAGATTGTAGAAGGGATCAAGGAGCATTTCTTATTAAAAGATATTTTGTATCAGGCAACTCGACTCAATAAAATACGATGAAAAAAAAAAAAAGAAGAAGAAGAAGAAGCAGCCAAATTTGAAGCTTATTTTGGTATGTTTGAACGTGCATAATTTGACCCATTTAAGTAGAGTTTTAACTTTGAACTCATTTTCAGTGTTTGCATTAAGTTAAGATGTTTCAAGTCTCTCTCTCTCTCTCTCTCTTTTTCCTATGCAGCCTTAGTTGAAAAATGTTCACTGAGGTTGAAAATTATTTAGGATCGAGTTGGACAAAGTTGACGTATCAAAAAAAAAAAAAAAAAAAAAAAAAAAAAAAATAATGATGTGAGCAAAAAGTTAAAAAAAAAAAAAACTGAAAATTCCTTTGAAACCGTCTAAGTTAAAGCCTGTTTGACAATCACTGTTGTAGAAAAAAAAATTTGAATAATGATTCTTAGAAAAATGTATGGTTAAAAAGTAAGAAAAAGTATTAGTATACGTGTAGATTATTTTATTGTATGACTATATGATTGTAAATGATCATGTAGCAAATCAGAAAATAAAATAATGAGTTCTCAAACAAGCAATTAGATTCGTGCCATTTCTCAAAGTATATTCTTGAATATCTTTTCTAGTAGAGTTATAACTAAGGTTGGTGGATCGAGCTCGTTGTTGAGACGAGGTATGGATCGGGTCAGTTTACCCTTTTTTTTTCACGAGCTAAGTTGGCTCATTTGAGCTCGTGGGCTAACTCTTTTTCCCTCAGTTATAAACTTATTTTATTAATTTCATAAAAAAATTGCTCATTTTTTTGATTTATTTTGTTAATGTACTTAAAAAAAAGAAAAGAGCGAGCGAACTCAGTGAAGCATACGAATCAAAGATTAAGTCGATTCTAAGACTTAATCATAGGTCGGGTTTAAACTCGAATCGAGCTTGGGTATGTACTGGATCATTATCCATCCTTTTTAGTTACAACATTATTTGGTCTAATCACGTTTCTTATACAATTTATTTTCTTTTGGTTTACAGTGTATGAATTGGCAAACAATACAATCATATATTTGAAAAACTGTTTTTAAAATCACTGATCAAGATTTTTTTCTACAAACTTTTGTCAATCAAATTGTGCATAAATATTGTACAAATTACTATTCTATTTGGTCACGAATGAATAGAGAAAGAGTAATGCTATTTGTAGTGAAAACTGTCAGTAGTCGTCTTATGTGGCATATACTTGACAATTTGATATTTAATATATAGATATGGTAGTTATTTTTTGACTTATACATAAAATGAAAAATTGTTAAATGTACGCCACATAAGGCGATTGCAGATACTCTTAGCATTATTTTGAGAGAGAGAGAGAGAGAGAGTGAGTTATTGTATTGGACTAACAACTGCCTAACAAGTTTAAAACCAATTGTAAATCCCAGTTATTATTTATGGGAGACATGATTATTTGACTTTTGCGTAACGTAATTCGATCAAATCATCAATCGTTAATTTCAAATCTTGGTAACCGGTTTCTTGAGCACACGCCATCATCGTCATGTCTTTTTCTACTCATTAAAAATCGCTCAAAACACCATAGAAATAAAAAGCAAATAGAAATGCCAAAAAGATAGATTGGACAAACTGATGGAGACTTAGCCCCGTTTGACACTCATTTTTTTTTTGAAACATATTTTTTTCTTTCTTCTTTTTAATCACACATTTTTTATTAAAATAATGTTACATGTAAATAAAAAAAATTTCCTTATTTTTCAATCACATACTTCTCATCAAGTTACTATTCTAAAATGTATTTTTACCTAAAAATGGCAATCAAATACCCCTTAGTAAAAATAATTAAGAAATCTCACACGGAAATTCTTACTCCCTTTACTTAATCTCTGTATAAACCTAAATATATTTTTAAAGGTGACGTTGATGACCTAAGAGCATCTCCAATATATTCGATGGATTGGAATCAAGTTGAAGGAATTACAATTTACTTGACATTAATGTAGCAAAATTTAAGAGCTTTTCATATTGACATCGGGAATGCTCTAATATGCTACTCTCTTTTCTTTATACAATTAAGATTAAGGGCCTGTTTGAGCCACATTATTTCAAAAAAATGCATTCTTAAACAATGATTTCACATCATTTGAACCATACATTTTTCAATAAAATAATATTACACGCAAATTAAAAACTTTTTCTTATTTTTTAACCACATATTTTTCATCAATACACTATTCAAGAATGTATTATTACCAAAATAATGTGGCTCAAACACCCCCCTAAGATCTAAGAGCATGTTTTGGAGTGTTCAAATTGAAATTTAAATGATTAGAGAATAAAATAAAAAAGTATATTTCGAAGCAATTCATATTTTAAAATTTATTTTTAACCATATATTTACACTTAAATTTAATTTTTTTAACTACATATTTTTTTTAAAAAAATCATTATTTTAAAATATATTTTCTCCCAAAATCATGTTGAAATGGAGTCCAAACAGGGTTATAATATGAGCCCACAACTTTATTGTAAGATTTGAAGTGATATCATGCAATGATTCCTTTCATTTATTTATTTTATTTTTTATTCTAATTCTTCTCCCCCTTTGCGCCGCAGCTGTCCATGCGTATCTCAATTGGTTGAATGGCTGAATTAGGGATTTACTATTTAGAGAAAATTACAAATTTGGTCCCGCAACTTGATATCAATATTCATTTTACCATTTTCTTTTACTTTACAAATTTCTTCTCCCATACTACTTATCGGTCGGTGCCTTGTTTGACAATCATCATTTTAAGAAAGTGGAGTTTTGAATAGTGATTTTTTGAATAATATGTTGTTAAAAGTAGGAAATTTTTTTAATTTACATGCAAAATATTTTATTACGTAAATGTGTGGTTAAAAATGAGTGTGGAAATTAAAGAATTTTAAAATAATGATTGTCAAATAAAGGCCATTGCAAAGAAAAGAGCTAAGAGCGTATCTAAGCAAAATAAAGAAGATTTTTATAAAAATTGATGAAATGTGTAATTGAAAAGTGTTCAAAAATAAAAATAAGACTTTAAGTGCGTGTTTGATTGAAAGTATGAAATTTGTATGAAAAGAAAATAAATTTTAGGTAATTCAATTGTCTAGAACTTATTTACATGAAAATTGTCAATTACATATATTTGATTGATTTAATTTTCAACATAGAAACTTTTATATTTGTTCGATTTTTATTGTTGGGCAGATGATAGAGAGTGGATCCTTGGAAAATAAAATCTTACTCCATCTAAAGAAAATATTTTTCTTGATTTTGAGAAAAATATGATCACTTGACCAAAAGTAAAAAAAATGTTTTCTATGAAAAAAATTCAATTAAATAGCACAAAAGTAGGAATTTAAATGAAAAATATATATTTTTCCATAAAAAATGTTGATAATCAAATGTACCCTAAATTATTATTGAAAATCATGTCTTTGAAATAATATTTATTTTATGTCTGAAGAAAAAATTAAACATGAAATGTACTAAGAAATTTGTTATTTTGGATTGTGGACTTTATGTACGAAACCAATTCCTCAGCTCCACTCGTCCTCCTCGGCAAGAGTGTGTTTATCAAATCTCACCACGCGCCGTTGTCCAAGTCGGGTAAAGCCAAAATTTTCTTCTCAAACTGCATGGATAACACTTATTGTAACGCCCTGACTCGCATGGACGGAAACGTCACTCAAACCATTGTACCTTAACCGTAAAGTTAGTTCAATATATTTTTAGTAGAAGGTTTAGATTAAATTTTAGAATTTAATTAATTTTTTTTTAAAAACAATAATCCAATTATAAAAGAAAACAATTTCAAAAATGTTTTTTAGAATGGGTTCCATGCATGTAACGACTATTGGCGTGAAATTTTGGCAAAATTTAAAAAGTAATGTTGTTATTCTAGTTTTTTTTTTGTCTCAAAAAGTAATTGTCAAAATAAATTTTTTTTCATAGCTATCGATCTTGAAACTTCATCAAATTTTAATGTAAGGTAGTAAACTCCTTATAATATGATATAGTCAAAAATTATCTTCCGTCGACATCATATGGGGTATTAAAATATTTTTCAAAATTCAGCAGCAACCCGGTTGAAAGGTAACTGGTGCAGTTCACATAAAATGGCATATAAAATTCCACCGACGTCAAAATCATATGATTTAAAATTTATTCAGTAGCTAATCCATGAGACTAACAAATCCAATTGGTTTCATCCAAAAATTCCAAGTAACGAGTGAGTTATAAATTTTTAAAAATAAGGATAAAAGTTGAAAAACAGAGACAGCACCCAGCACAGTTTACTTTATATGACATATAACCTTTTACCGATATTGGATTGATATGATTCCAATTTTATTCAGTATCTAACTTATTAGGCTATCCAATCCAATTGGTTTCGTATAAAAATACCAAGTAACGAAAGAGTTATGATTTTTTTAAAGATGAGGCAGAAACTGAAATGTCTGAAGAGACGTCAAAACTTTAAGTCGCTAACTTTTTTTTGTATACGGTGATTTGTAAATTTATTTCTATGACGCATATCTACTTTTAAACATAGTTTATTCATAACGAGCATTCGTAAAATAGATTCACACAGTATTTATAGGAATCAAATTTAAAGAAAGTGTAAACATCTCAAAATCAACTAAAAATGTAAATCACCGGCTTCTCCATGATATGTTGTATTATCCTTTACCATCATCTACGTCCCAAAAAAAATCCATTCAACCTGTAAGAAGGGAAGTAACCTATGATTTTGAAACTCAGT